AGCGCGCTAATTGGCTCTAGAGTGTGTCAATAAGAGGGCATGGACACTCTGCCGTGCTGCGCGTTCAGTTGAAAGAAAACAAAATGTTTTTCACTAATCTTTAGACTTAAATGTGATTCATCAACATTTTATGTCGTCAAAAGTGTGTCAATAAGAGAACATAAGAGGACATACAACTCAAAACCGTGCGCAATTTGTTAAACATATCTATTTAATATGTAGCGTTTGGGAATAGCACAGGAAGCCCAGCAAATTACCTACATTGCTTTATGTCAATCGTCAAATGTATATATAGGTGATCTCTTTATCAAAGGCTCTAGACAAGATGGTGCCATATATGTTGTTTATGTGACCTTTGCATATCTTGAATAAAACGAGCCAACGATCTTCGCTAAACCAAACACTGATACAAACATACTTTAATTTCCAACTATTCCTCTATTTAACATTATGCATTATACTATCTAGCGCAACTTCACGCTGTTACAGCGTCTAGTTGATTTGAGATTTCGCTCTGGGAAAATACTCACCAAGTGAATGAATAATAGTTGAAGCTTTTCCAGAGAGAGCTGTTCCTGGCGTTCCTCTCGGTCCTTGGGGGCCTGGTGGCCCGGGTGGACCTTGTATTCCAGGAGATCCACGAAACCCTCGTTTACCACGTCTTCCTCTTTGTCCGCTTGGACCCTTCGGCCCTTGTGGACCCAGTGATCCTGGTGGACCTTAAATTGTCAAACAAAATTTCATTCTGACAAATAAATTCAAAAAGCAGCTTGCTGGAATACTGAAGAAAAATTTCATACCTCTAACACAAACTGGTTTACTGGATGGTTTTGACGATTTGATCTATGAGAATGATAACAGTTCTATAAATATACACTCTGACTTTGATTTATTTATTCACAGAGGTCACAAATTTGGCGAGTGTGTTATTTTATATTCATGATATGTTAGATCCTAATTCTATTAGAAAGGTCTGGAAAATGCCATTAACTATATTTTCTTATCAATCTCAAATTTGGTTATTTCAAAGTTGTTGGCGAATGTTTTCTTCCTAGTCCATGTTCAGATTAAATACATTGAGGCTTGACAGAATTTTGTTTTTGCAGATCACGTATTGTTTTACACATACAAAAACGAAATGAGGTCATTTACATTGTATCTGCAAATATCGTGAGAGCTCTTATATTTTATGAAAATCATATTAGATGTTTGTTTTCTGGTCCATGTTCAGAACTAGTAAATGTCGTATCGTTTTCCACATTCAAAAACGAAATGAGATCGTTTACATTGTAGCTGGAAACTACATGAAATCCCTTGTTTATTCATTAAAAGTCATATAGACAATACAAAATTGCGTATACCTTTTTGGATGATCCAGACGAGAAAATTTGCGTACAGAGATCTCTGCATTTGGTACAAGCACTCGTTGGATCTCTCGAGCCATTGTTAGCAGCTCTTGGAAAGCGATTTTTATATACATCAGCGTCTGACTCTGTTTTCTTGATTTGCTCGCATCGAACGATTCGTTCATCCAAAGTATGCACTCTGTACGTCAAATACCCCACAGACAGTATCGTCAGGGCTAAATTCAGCAATACACCAAGCTGAAGTATACCATTCGTTTTAGATTTTCCACTGCCCTCCATGACGTTATGAATATGCCAAAACGTGTTGCATATCTTGTTTTTATCCACCTCTTAGTAATTTGAGTATTTATCTAAGTAGAGGTCATGGAAATAGTAGAACTGATGCAACAATAGCGAAGTTGGTATTAGATTCCATGAATCAATGCATAGGAAACTAGACGCTCTTGGAGCGTGAAGTCGGACTAGCTATTTTTGAGTGTATCATGGCGTGGGATATTATATTTTTTGCTTCTAATACATAGTGAAAGCAAGAATGCGTGACCGTTTATTCACACGATACGATATTCTTTTTGACTGCTCTCGGCAACGACTTCAAAACGATAGAAATCTAAATGTTGACCTAAAAGGTCATGTAATTAATACTTAGAGACTAGATGTCTCTAAGTGATATCATATCTAATACGTTTTTAATTCAAATTGTTGACCTCTCAGGCCAAGAAAATAAATACTTTTAAAAAGATGCCTATAAAATAATCAAAGTCGCCTTTTTGTTATTGATCAACAAAGTTTCTTCTTGTTCTAATTTGAAATCTTTGCCCCCACAAGACTGTCTAACACTAGAAAGGATATTGATTCAGTTTTGTAAGCATACAACTCGAAACTCTATGCGATCTGCACATGCGCGTACTTCTAATGCCTAGACAGACGCATTCCGATGAGATCACAGATACCACATTTGTAAACSAATAGTTTTTTTGTCATATAAAAGCCAAGTAGCATATAACATTTACTAACGACATTCGTACATCAATACGCTTGAGCTTCCGGTCATGTAATAACACAGCCAACCCAATAGTTAATTATTAAATTCTATAAATTATAAATTATTAATAGATAGATTGATAGATTGATTGATTGGCTAAAAGGTAAAACTAAAGTCGACCTAGCCTTCGGCTAGTCCGACTAATAATAATACTATATAAAAAATTATCATAAATCCATAAAGGGTAATAATAACCAATGTCTACAAATAGAATACAGTTGATTAAAATCAATTTTTTTTAAATTATCGTTTGAGATGACTTTTACATCAGAAACCATTGCATCATGTTCTCTTTATTTGGTCATAATTTTGCCATCACCTTTGCCCAGCAAGTGTAGACACACATGTATAAGAAAGATATACAGTATTTTTTCCGTTTTTAACAATTATTCGCCGAAGGCGAAGTGATTATCAATGAATATTTACCGAGCGGCGATTCCGCGCGCCGCTCGGTAAATATTCATTGATAATCACTGAGCCTGAGGTGAATAATTGTTTTAGTATAATTTCATAAGTGAATATTCATAAAAATAGAGAAAAATGAACTACTGCATTTTCGTAAAATGTTATGTGGTGGGGATTGAAGATGGCGGTCGAGGGACGCTCGGATTGACAGCAAAGTCGTCTTCTTGTAATAATTGTCATTTTTCTTCCTTATTGGCACGTAAAACCTTGATAGACACTTGTTTAATTCACTTGTATCCATGTCTTCAAAGCTGACAGTAAATTCAGACTGTTGTTGATTCTGTCAAAAAATGTATCGAGTAAAATCTGTAAACAAACCAGGCGAAAACCTACAAATTTCAGCCTGTTTGACGTAAAACGATAGATAAAAAAGTAGTTTTAGACAAGGCTTTTATTATTAAATAAACAAAACTTACCTATAAAAAGTTTTAATCCAATTTTTTTAATCCAATTGTTTAATCCAACGACTCGCGGACGACGTCATTTTGCGAAAAAATCCAACATTCACCTATAGGTGAACATCTCTCATTGAAGCGTCAAATTCGACCAATCAGCGCGCTAGAATTATGATATTCACTTATGAAATTATACTAATGATTGATATTGATTTTGTTGGTGTATTGATTGATTGATATATTGATTGATTTTTTTATTAATTTATTGTCATTGACTTTTATTATATTTATGAATAAGAATTTTCAGCAAGAATTTCAAAACATCTAATTAAGATGGATTGAACACCATTTTCATACAAGAGATTTATTGTGAATGAAAACTGTGTTTTACTTGTGCCTGCAGATCGCAATTCTTCTGACTGCCATATGGTCTTGAGCCTGTGGAAATTTTTTTTCATGGATTCGTTTGGACACATTACAATAGAAAAATTTTAAAAAAGGTATTCTTGTTAATATTGTAATAATAGCAATATTTCTTTCATAAGTCGTATCACTATGGTAATAGTTATTAATTTTATTAGTTAATCATATTGTCATTATCACTACTATATTAAAAAAGTGAGACTTTTATGGAGTAAAACGGAAATGAGATAAAACTACAAGCAACGTGGATTAAACATTACAAATTTATAATGACTTTCAAATATTAACCTTCAATCTTTCCAAAATCTACGGCGATTGCAATTTCCAACTTAACAAAGGCACATTTTTTAACATTCTTGTAGCACTACAGAATCTTGCCTATTTGTAGCACATTTGATTATTAAGAAGAATCAGTCTACCTAATTTATCATAGCCTGCATTAAGTTGACTAATTGTGTACTTGGTCTACTGGTCCCAGTTACTACAAATATGCAAATCAGCGTCCACAAATCACAGGCGCAATACATCATTGCATTTTTGAAAATCGACGTCGACATAGTACGTGGGATCCCTGTGTTTTATTGGAGTTTATTCCAACTAAATCTCTTCGCTATCTTGTCGAAACACTTCGATCTCGTCTGGCTGAAAGTTATACGATCCTGCAAGAAGGTTCTTAGCTTTAGTTGATCCATATGTGTAGTCCTTAAACAGTAAATAGCTATGTCCAAGGTTCGTATAGGAGCCTGTGTTGCTACCAGCATTATTACCAATATATATGTCATGGCCGCCTCCAAAGGTTGGTCCGTAGCTGCTACTTCCATAAATTGCCTTTTGCGTTTTAAAAACTTTAATTTTAAATGGCTTCAAGTTGTCTCTGTTTACGAATGAGAACAGGAACGAGTTGACTGATATGCTGTAAGACCCACTGGAATCTTAAAAAGAAAGCCAATTTTGATACTTTGCTGTGAACATACAAAAAAAGATTAACAGCTGAGATACTTACGCCAGCTGACGTCTGTATAGCCTCCAAATATGTATTTGTTCACTTTGATTATTGTAATAGTCGGGCCTATACTATTACACTTAGAATGGAATGTGCTGCTTGACCATCCGTGAAGTCTGCTTCGATAGCAGGTTACCCATTTTACTGGCATGTCTGTCACTGGAGCCAGCCATTCTCTCATGATATCATAGTAATCCTCTCGATTTTCCAGGATGTTTGAATGCAATATATGGGCTGAGAAAAAGTTATACATGGGCAATTAATCTCAATATTGGAATTAAAATAAAAATCAAGTTTCAGGTTAAGATTGTGTAGTATGTACGTTAATGGTCGTATTCTTAGATAGAATGAATTAAACGCTGACGCTCAGGCTTTATTTTCTGCATTGGCTTCTATATATTGTTCTAGAGTCGTAATGCAAGCTTCAGATTTTTCAAATAGTCAGATAATCACAATCTCGCATAAGGATTGATGAAAACAACCATAAGCCACTATTGGAGGATGAAAAAATAAAGTTGCTGACGATGTAACAAGGCATGAGAGCTATAGACTTYTTGATATCCTAACGATAGACGAAATCTAATTATAAGTWAAACAATGGTGTTTATATTTCAACGTGCTTTCGTATGGGTTTTCGTAGTGAGCTTGGATAAAGTGTTCTAAGGTCATTCACTTACTTTTACATTGTGTTTTAYCARTGGTAAAGTTTCCATTCAAATCAGTCCAGTTTCCTGTGCTGGAATTACATACGAGCTGGCGGTTTCCACGGAGCCAGTAACCGGGATTGCAATTGATAGTGAGAGTGCTGTTGGCCAGGAAATCGCCTACAATGTACCCATTCTCGGGAGGTACGATCTCGGGACAAACACGACGACCTGTCAAACAGAAAAATTCATCACTTATTTCGTTTATTTAGGTGCCGATGAACGGTAATACTGTTCTGGATAGATGAAAACACGTAATGACAGTARCGTTACTTCGCTAAATGTGAGATTGATAACGTGGCTAATTCATGATTTTAATCGGGCGTAAAATGTATGGAAAATTCTGCTCCAGGAGTTAGATGAAAAGCTAGATAATGACCATWGCAAACAACACTCCTCACAGGTTTTTTGTTTTGATTGWGGGAGAAAAATAAGCGGACCTTGAGAAAAACCCTCGGAGAAAGGAAGAGAACTAGTCTACAAACTCAAATCACATATARTCAAGTATCGGGAATCAAACCGGAACACRGTGCAAGTTAGTAAAAAGAAAGGGAARAATAACTTACATGATGGAATRGAGTTGCTCCATRCACCRTTTKSCAGACAAAGTCGGWTGGATGGTCCCACCAAGTAGTAACCAGGATCACAAGTATAAAATACCATATTCCCAGCCCASAACTCTTTGCCAGTGCRATAGCCATTCAGGGGTTTTCCAGGATCGCCACAGCTCAGTAGAGCTATAACACGAAAATAAATTCAAAACTTTTATTGTATAGTTTGTGTCAATTGCAATATCGTTGTAGATGGGTAGAGTTTGTGGTGTTAAGTTTAGGCCCCATTTTGCACTTAAAGCCTCGAGAATGAGTTCTGAATTAATGTATTTTTGATATTCGATTGGTGGGACAATGGCCGGTTTGGATATAGTATTATTGTTGTTTAAGGGGCGCATCATAATCGTCTCCTTTATTCTTGAACTTACAGACTTGTATTGTAGTTCCAGTAGTTCTCATAGTTTTGTCGTAGTTTCTAAAAAAACATTTGTATCGTCCTTCGTGTTGAGACATGAACGGATCAATAACCAATTCGCTTATAGTTTCTTTACTGGACTGGCGAACTGTAGTGTTTACAGATACAGGTCGGCCATCTTTGCTCCACTCGATTGTCGGTAGCGGGGATCCAGTAGCCGAACACTTCAATTTGACGCGGGACATGGTTTTGTTCACAATGACGTGATTAGATGGTGATAGAACGATGACAGGAGCAGCTGAAAACATGAACAATGCATTTTTAAAATTTCAAGATTGCACATACCCCT